TGGCGTGCTTTCGCATGCGTCCGCCCTGAGCCACCGGTGGCTCATATTGTCCCTCGTGGACCACTTTTTTGCCGCTATGTCAAATTTCGCAAAATGATAAGTCAATCGTGTAGGGACTGCTATTTCAACCATCTTTGACCCTATTGGATGCCATCTCATGCCCCGCCCTCTGCGATCACGCCCACTTTTTAGCGCGATCGTGATTTCCAAAATGTGTACCATAACTTCCGTTTCTGAGAATTTTCTTGGAATTTTCTGCTTTTCACACATTACAATGATTCATTGATGGCCACACCGACACATAGCCGGCCACGCCCACTTTTTAACAGGTTTGTTTTATATTTAATTTTCATACCTTATCTCAACGTTGACGCTTCACACTCTTCACATATTGCTCACAGACAAGCAATTGCACGAAGATGCATAAGGCTCCGCACACTTAGCTCCGCCCACTTTAGATCGATTTTCGCGATTTCTAGCAATATTTTATTATCACTATTTATCCATATTTTCTTTCCACTATCCATATTTTATCACTTGTTCACCATCTCAAGATCACCAAACGGCTCCGCCCACTATGAGAGGCCCCTGCCACTTCGCACAAGCTCCACCTACACCTGCGAAAATGCCTTGATCTGGAAGTACAGAGTCTCGCTCGTAGACCAGAAGAAGCCAGACTGCTTCACTGGGGGAAACTGCGTGCTGTGGATCAATAACTACCAAGGACAACCATATAGGAACTCCTTGCGGATGCCGTTCATGTGGGATTTCATGTGGAATCTGGTTTCTTCTTGAGCTCGGTTGCAATCCAGTCAGCCGTTTGCACGGCGTTAATACTGAGAAATAATGATACATTCGTGACAAGGATGTCAAATAACCTAGGTGTAGAGGTTTCTATCAAATTCGGTGTCAAAAAGATCGCTGGCGCCAAAGTGGCGCCCGCTGGCGCCAGGTGGCGCCAACTTTGGAAGGCAACGATATATTCGTGACAAGGATGTCAAATAACCTAGGTGTAGAGGTTTCTATCAAATTCGGTGTCAATGGCGCCTACTGGCGCCGTTGAACAAATGAGATCTCATACGTTCATGCTATTTTGGAGGTTTCTGCCGCAGCAGTAGCTAGTTGAAAAATTTCAATTTTTAATTCAAAATATCTCATGGGGGCAGCAACATTTTTCTTGCTCATCCTTGTTGGAAACTCACCTTCCACAGGTTACTCGAAAGCAAGAAAAAGATCGATTGAGACTGCCGGCAATAACCCAAAAAGTGATGGAGAAAGTCATGAGCCACCGGTGGCTCAGATTGTCCCACGTGGCCACTCACTCATGAGCCACCGGTGGCTCAGGATGTCGTCAACGTGTTAAATTATAAAGGAAGGAGGGGTGGGGGAGGCGTTTTTCTCATTCATTTACAAGGGGAAATAGAAATCCTTTATATTAGTTGGTTCAAGTTTTTTGATGGAAATGAAAATGTTTCTTTGCAGTATCCACGCTATCAACCTGATGAATTCTCTACTCCCTGGTTTGGATCAGAACGATATGGGGAAATGTTTGACAACTTTCCAGGTATGAATACGATTCTTGGCGTTTTTCGGCTTGGAGGGGCATTTTGCCTTCTCCGCTGATTCTTTTGGTAGTCCATGTTAACTAACTGGTTAGGACGTCTTATTCTTCAACAATGGTTAATTTAATTTAACCATTGTTGAAGAATAAGACGTCATAACATGAGACTCAGGGATAGCTCAATTCTTCATTAACTGGTTAGGCTTGTAAAGACTTGCAACTCCTGTGGAGCTGAAGATTAGTTCAGGCCATTCTGGTTGCAAGAATCACAAGTCTTCACGAGGCCGTGTACAAGCCTTGCTAAGTACCGATGGTTTCGATCACTAAGCCGAATCCGAACTGGGCCCGATTACTGCGAATCTTATGATTTTCTATCCTGTTCAGATTGTTGGTGTATTGGTGAACTTGATCCCGCTTGTTGATTGTTCTGATGCTATACATCTTCGCTCGGATTTAACGGAAGACGAGAAAGAATTGTGCTCAGCAACAGCAAATTTTGACAGCATTATTGCTATGTTCATGGACAAGTGGGTATTTTCTTCGTTCTGAATAAGAACTGGTAAAGCGAGAGGAATATGTAGGAATAACAACAATCCCTTCTTCCGATCTCGGAGAAAGGGTCCTACCAAAGGAAGAAATTTGGTGCGGGGGGGGGCTTATTTTTCGATCTGTTTCTTGAAACACGCGCTAGAAAAGTTTGCGCTACTCAGACCTGCCTGTTTTGCTCCACTCTCCTTTGCTATTACTGTGTTTTTCTGCTGTAATACTGTCCTAAGCTTGGGTATGGTCAAGGACATGTGAAGCGCGGCATCGTGCGCAAACCAGCACTGCTACCCTGTTGGCGAATATTGGCCGTGCAATGGACTGCAGAGGGCGTCATTTGCCACATCCTGGCTCAGCGGTAATCGAAGCTGTAGTCCTGCAATGAGTCAACTAGCTAGTTGAGCCAGCGATGCCGTGCCCGAGATTCCTCGAATTCCACTCTCTTAGAGTGACCACCTAACAGAGTTCAAAAAACAGCGCAAAATCTACTAGACATCATGGGTCTTCGGGAAGCGGCTTAGTTCACTAATGATTTCAATTTAGATTGCTGTCGATGATGATGGAGTACGGAGAAGCTGCAGCATTCACAGGTTCCCACACTAACATCAATACGAAAACAAGAGCGAATATGGACGATCATATTTTGCACAGGTGAGTGGTACTCCAATGCTAGGTCATTTCTTCATGGTTAATGAAGTGATCGGTGATCTCTTGTGACAAAGAGTACACTCTTTTTCGGGGATGGTTCTGTCATCAGGGGGTGAATGGGTGCGCAGCTGCAATACGTGTTATTTTCCTCACTTGGAGTGCACGAGAACGGGCTGAAGGGTAACGATAACTAAGTGTCGTCTCCCAAATCCTTTAGCGCATTCCTTAGGCAACGTTCAGACTGCGCGATCGCCTGATCGGATCGCGCGACGACGGCTATCCTATCCTCCAGCCCTTTCCCGCGCTTTTCTGAGCGGGAAAGGTGGCTTGCTATTGCACCTGCGGACCAATTCACCTCGTACATAGCAAGGAACAGAATCCTTGTAGTGAGTGTACAGTTTGTCGGCGCAGTTCAGCTCGATGGGGCACCGAGTGGCTACTAAATGAGTGTGCACGTTAGCTTGTGGAGACCTGTGAATTCCTGACTGAAGCGGATCGCTCATACCATTTTGCAGCTCCACAAGAGTTCACAGGTCTCAAGCAAGGGATTTTTTTCACATGAGGTAATCAAGGAATTAGCGAAGGTGCTAAATGCACCCTCCAAGCCTAACAATGCCTAGTTTGTTTCTAATGAATAGCTGGCTGAAGAAAGTGCGCTTTTTGTTGTGCTTTCCTCAATGCTAATTTTTCTTTGCAGAGGTACAATTTCGGTCTTCAAAGGAATATGTCGGAACTCGAGTACTGAGTTGTACAAGGTAACAATACATGGGTTTTTCTGTAATTCCATGTCATTAGTTTCTTTCTATTATCTCTAGGTGGCGGTCGATCGTTTGTACACTTTTATGTGCGAAAATGTGTTCGACAGTAAAACAGTATCAACAGCCATAGCAGATATGGTGTTTGTGGCAGTAAAGGTATGGAATTTTCAGCCAGGTTGGCCTTGCTGGGGGTGGGGGCATTCTGCTGGTCTTATCAATCACTGCCGATATCTCCCGTAGAGAATTGTTCACTCTTGTAAAGCTATGCAATAGCAGGAGCGCCGCTTACAGTCGGCAACAGTTCACAGGTCTGCTCATCAAGTGTGGCGTGTAATTTGGGAACGAGCAAGTATGTAGGATACCCCTCCTAAGCCAAACAGCGCCGAACTTTTCTTCTTTTTTTCTCTATGTCCATTTGAGAAACCATTCTGATGATCACGTTCGGTGGGAAGGCGGTGGGGGGGAGCGAGAACTTTTCCTTTCGAACCTCCAGACATATATATTTTACGGATGTTTTGCTTATTTAGATGTATCCTTCACTGTCGTTCGTTCGATTCTTCTCCCTGATCAAAAAGAAACTGCAGCAGTGCATATGCAGTATGTCCTTTCTATTACATTTAGTTTTTTAGATCAATATTTTTCGTTATTCGTAAAATCATGCCTATTTTTTTACCATTTAAGCCGAGACGTACTCGGAAGAAAAGGTGGACTTCCAAGTGATCTGGTGGCTTTCGATGGCTGATCGAGTACTGAAGGTAAGGAACTAATTGATGTTGTTGGCTTTTCTTATTTTTATTAGTATTCTCTATAATTAGATAAAGATCGGTCGATGATAAATAGGGGATGACCTGGCTCCTTGTGCCTCTTCATGGATTACGCATCACACATCTTCTGGGATGTGTAGTGGGCCTAGAGCTGGATTGTTAGGGTTAGGGGATACCTACCTCTGTAAATTGGGCCCTAGATAGGAGAGGGGGTACCGTAGTGGTGTTTCTGGTGTTATCCCTAATACGATTCACCCTTTTAGCAGCCATTCCTGCACATTCGAGGGCAAAAATCTGCTGATAATTTTATCATTCATCGCTCAGGACCTTCAAACCGTTGTGTGATGTGTGTATGGTGTTCACTGCGGACCCTTGGGCTTGTGTTCCAAGGGGGGGGGGGCTGCGTCTTGCATGGCGCGAGTTAGTACTCCATCATTTGCTGCAGCAATCAAGCTACAACAGTTGGTGAAACAAGAACGGGCTGTCGCCTCGCTGACCCAGCCATCTGACACTCCCCAGCATCCACAGCGAACAATGCTGTACATCTTTGATGTAAATCATTCAATTGCTGTTTCTCGGTTGTGTTTGGCCCTTGAATTGAGTTGTTGGTCCAACGACAGTTTTACTACCTTTTACAATCAATTTATTTACCTTTAAATTTATGTGTCAGGTGGGGTGCCTAATAGGGTGCTTCACTGTGTCCGTTGTTTTCGTCGAATGATCAGCGTGCAAATAAATGAACCAGCCTTTGTTCGAAAGTTCGAAATACCACTGGAAATGTTTACTTCCAGGCTCCTTCAAGTTATCTGCTCGAGAATTGGGCTGATGTGCGTGCAGTGCTTGAACTAGTCCTGCCGCTGAAAAAGTGCACACTGGCTACTGAGGTGGGAATTCTATAGTGCTGTGGTATATTACCAGCATGACCTCTTTTAACTTTTGAATTCTGAGTAGGTTTCTTCTGAAAGTATACCGGAAGAAAGTTTCAGAAAGCTGCGGCTATTCTGGAAAGTGTATTGGAGGGACTCTGCAGCATCTATCTCCTGGAATCACCGACGAGAAGAGCCAATGCTGATAAGAACTTGGAAGATGCTTTGGCTATTCGAGTACGCCTTAATAATTCATTTTTCCATGTTTTAACTGGATTTGTATAGAAATGAGGACGCAGATCGGCTTGGGGGGCATCAAATGACACCTAGCCAAGCTTGTACAGGGCATCTTGTGAAGATCTGCAAGTTTCTGTGACCAAAATGGCTCACTGGTGCCTCTTCGTAGCTTCACAGGAGCTTACAGGTTTCACTAGAGTAGGACTTGTTGTAATAGAAATGAACTAGTAAAAGGAACAAGGGAAGGTGCAGAGTGCCCCCTTCAAGCCGAACAGCCACGAAACAAGTTTAGTTGTATGGTTTCAACTGTCATTGATGGGTCCGTTCTTATGTGAAATAGGCTTTCAACTTGATAGATGAAGTCTTTTTAGCACTGGTCAGCTACAGTGGACAAGAAAACATGGCATCCGCAGTGGTAAGGGTCTTGTGAACAGTGCGCTTATACTTTGCGGCGGGCGTTTTGTGCGTCTATCTATATTTTGAGCGGCCGCCAGGATTTTCAGCGACAATCGATACCTATAGTTTCTGAGTCGCTCAAAATTCTAGCGCTCAAAACACTCAGAATGCTGGCAAGCGCTCATTTCGTTGAATCGATATTTGACTTTCCTAATCGCTCGAAACGCTTAAAACGCGGCGCAAAGTATGAACGCACTCAAGAATTATCCTTGCTTCTTTTTCTTTTTTTTTTCTCAGATCGTTTCTTATTAAAGGCATGTTCCATCGCAAGAAGACATCGATCGGACAGCAGAATTGTTCCGAGATTTTGTGGTGCCTCAATTACAAGCGCTGGCTACACCACATGGCATGGACAAGTAAGGCTTTCGTGAGATCCTTGGTCCCGTCATGCCCATACGTTTCGACAGCAGATGTTCACTTTAAGGAAAGAAGTTATGCATCATCTGCTTCTGATACGTAATGCGGTGCTTGGCGCATCTGCTTCGATCCCGTTTTTCGAAGGTCCAAATTACGGCCTAGAAGAATCGCCATCTCTTGAGGAAGTTGAGCATCCTATCGCTCGCCCGGTCAACGCTCCAGGTTTGTGTAGAATCTCCTGCAGTGTGGCACTCATACCCCACATCGATTTAGTGCGAAGTAGTGACTCTTAAATTATGCAGGAGAACGCTCAGTAACCTTATGAGGTGGGGGGGGGCAGACCCGTGATCACTTGTCAGTAGACCAAATCGTATAAACTGTTTACATGTGAGAACCGTACAACCTTGTAACACCTTGATCACTGTGAGTGTGCTTTTGTATATATCCATGCAACACCGCAACCGCTTTATACCAATCCCTTCGCTTCATATTGTGCTTCGTAGATGAGCCGATACAAGCATGGGTTGGACATTTATGGGCGGGCGGGCGCGGTGGGTGTCCGGGTCGGTATGCAGCAGCTCGATGGGGCTCTATAAGGGTACCTTCCTCGGAAGCGTCTGCTCAGGGGGCCGAATTCTGTCTTAGTAGGCGTATTACACACACGTCTCAGAGATTTATCGTGCCACTTGCCTTCAAATAGGTGCAGGGTTTGAGAGAAAATCACAGGGTAGACAAGAATTCACAGGAATCGGTGGGTAAGACACTTTCGACCGCGATTCACATGCATACAGTTGACACGACTTAACAAAGCTCGTATGCCACGTGCTTGCAGACATGTCCCCCCCCCACTCGCTCCGTTCCCCTTTCCCTAAGGTTATTAGCGTCCTTTTGAATGATCACTAAAGAGATCTCATTTTGTCATTCGTCATTATTCGCAAGCTAATTTGAGTAATATCGGCGGTTATTTGTTACCTGCACCTTTCAGTAGTGACCTTGGATGGACGCAGTGTTCGAGACATTGTACTTGACAGTATGCGCCAGTTGCTGGATTACTTATTTGAACACTCAGAAGACGATGTGAAATCGATTCAGCAAGTAGTTGTGATTCTGAATACACTGGCATCCTGTCGTGGCTTGAACTCTGTGAGTTTTTTTCCCTTTTCATAGCGAATCTTTTCGGAAGTTCCTGAAATAATGGTGTTTGCAGGAAACAGTTACCAATTTTATAGAATTTAGAAAGGGCAGGAAACGCGTGAAAGTTCAACAACCACCGGGTTCGAGAGCGGTAAATATACCATTTTCATTTCAAATCGGACACTTTTCAAACCCAGTCGAACACCCTACTTTCATCGGAAAGTTACTTCACGAGATCATACTTGTTATTGCAGCCAGCCGCTCTTCGATACCGCTTCACTGGTACCCTTTCTGCCATGCCCACTTTTGTGTCTTTTGCAAAATTTAATCTTTTCCTTTCCGGAATGCACCCCTTTTTAGGGTGCAACAGGTAGCTCCACCCCTATGAAAAACTCTGCCCATTTCGCAAATGCACCGCCCACTTTTGAAAGATCGGCACGCTGAGGTATCGGTTAGCCTCGCCCTAGACTGAAAAACCTGGCAATGTTTGTTCCGAATGACAAGCGAGACCCTGAACTGTCACCAGAGTTCCACTTGCAGATTGGGTAGTTTTTTTTCAGACGTGGGTGGGGCTTCTGCTCAGTGGGCGGAGCTTTTGATCAGGGTGAAGCCTCCCTTGCAGCAGTACTTAGGTGGTCTGTTTAAGTAACTGTCCGATGTGAGGAGTGTGTTCGATTCGGTTTGAAAAGCGTCCCTTTTGGTTTGAAAAGTGTCTGATTTGGTTTTAAACTCGTTCGATCAGTTCAAAAAAAATATCCGATTTATCTTGAAAAGTGTCCGATTCAAAATGAAAATGGTATATGTTGGGTAGTACTTGGGCAAATCCCATTTTCGGATAGAGTCCTGTTCGTTTTGTCGTGGTTCGGAGGGATAACTCACAGGATAGTAAAAAATAATCATAATCACGTTCATAATTTTCCGTGTAATAACCTTAGTTTCTTGAAGGAAATAAAAGTGAGCCTAGAACGGCTTAAAATGTTTAGCAACCACATCAGACAAGGCTGTCATTCACCTTGTAGGCCATACTTGTACAGAAAACTTGGGAAACCCATTTAGGCATTTAAAACCCTATTTTGACTTCGAAAATTTAATTTCTAGAATTCGATTCAGCTCGAACTGCACCATCCGAAGCAAAGTGTTAAATTTATATTTAGGAGCTATTTGTTACGTCGGTTCTGAGCTATCGAACAACGAAAGCAATTCTCAGTGACCAAATTGCTGGAAATCGTGGTAATATCGAAATGCTTTCCGAAGAATACACTCTACTGATGCACAAGGTTAGTGAGAACAGAAGTTTTAGGATTGTCTATCAGACTGATCTCCATGTTTTTGGCGCATAAAGGCTTTGAGTTGATTCCTTAGGTCAGAATTAGTGTAGGCCGTTTACTATTCTTCTGGATTGTGTCCCAAATTGTGATTAATGGATAAGAACTGTTACACTTCCTTTATAGAAGCGAAACGTAACGCAAAGTGGATACCAGTGCAAACCACAGCACATAGAGATCCTGCGCATGCTGGTCAAAATTGGGACCAGTACTTATAGCCAGGTGAGCTCTTGCATGTTACATTCTTATTGTGATCAACTTCTTTCCATTGAGGGGATCTGGGATCTGATGCTCTGATCCTGCCATGACCCTTTCTGTGTGGCGCGGTCATGTGATGCAGCCATGGAATGTTCTTTTCAGGGCCGGGTAGGGTGTAGGCGGGGCCAATGAAGGTGGGTTGGGCCAGTGAAAAGAACGACGTATAAGTGCCCTCGTGCACCCGATCCTGCAACCGCTACCACTGCGAATCAAGTTATTTGCACGCGGAATAGGAGCAACTTCGCATCTAGTCGACAAACAGGGTACAGCATCGTTGTGTGAAATAGGGAGAGGGGTCGTACTTTCCTCTAATAAGGGGGTCGTATGTGCCTTTGAGGGAAATTTGTCGCGTTGGTTTTCCGGTTGTTGACTTTTTGCGTGATTTTTCCTCATGTGTACTATACACCCACCCCCCACCTCCGATCGACAGCAAAGTTTTCGAGTGAAGAAATTGGAAAATGGGGAAAGCTGTAGCTGGGTGTTGGGAAGGGGAGGAGGGTCGTACCGAGACCCTCATTTAGGTGGGGGGGGGTCGTACCTACACCACCACCTCACACATCACGATGCTGTACCCTGTCGACAAACTTGCGTTCAAGTGTTCAACTTTTCTTCCAAAAGCGCTGAGGTATTATTCCCTTATCCAACTGTATAATTTTTAGAATCGTGTGAAGGCTCAACTGGTGCTGGTGAATCTTCTGAAGGATTATCCGTTCGCCTACAAGAGTATTATTGGAGAACTGATTGCACTTCTCGATCCGGCCAACAACTCGTCGCATGAACAAATCAAGGTGTAGCACCATTACCAGTTCTTTTGTGAAACAATACACTGTGCTCTCTTTTTACTGGTTTCAATAGAGGCTCAACAAATTTTCCAGGGAGCCCTTCATATGCTCACTGACCATAAACGCGATGCTTTGGTATTGCGAGCTGGCTTTGATGCACAACTTCTCGCAATGCCTGCCATTGTTGGTACCAGCCACAGCGAAAAACCGTCCATCATAGATTTACTGGAGCAGGCGCAGAATTCCATCGTTGAACTGTATGAAAGCTATCGCATTGAGTATGAGGTAGGTTGTTTTGTCTCATTTCCAAGGGAACCCCGCAAATGGGGCTTTTTGTAGATCCCAGACGAGATGCGATCAATCGCCATGTCATTGCTTGACGAGAAAGAAGCCTGTCCATTGAATGCAAGCCATGGAATACCATCTCCAGATGTGGTGAAAGCAAATGCAAATAATTTGGTAAAACTCAAGGAGAAACTCACAAGGTTTGTTCCCGGACTGTTTTCCCAACCTCTCATTCCTTCAATGGGATACCTTTAGGCAATACTACGAATTAGCTGAAAAACTTCTGTCACTGGCCACGGACCCTAACCTCCATTGGCGGCATGTCGACATGGCGCAAGCATTCTTGTCTCTACTTGTTCGCAGGTAAATGGATTCTTGTAGTTTGTGTTACGTTTGAGCGCGTTTATAGCTGAGACTAGACTAGGTTTGGGAAAAGAGGCAGGATACAGTACTCCAAACTGCGCTCAAAACTGAAACTCTCCCTGGCTGGGTGGAAAGCGGAACGTCGCTCTCGCTTCCCAGCTTGATCCTGTGGTTTCCTCCCTCACCCCCGCCACCTGCTTCATAGCATTATCCCAGCGCTTCCTACACCTGCCGGCGCATGCAAGAGCCGGATCAAAGGTGAAGCGTATACGGACCGCGCTGTGCAAAAGGGGTGTAACACGACAAGGGTCCAGTGGTACTTTCTCATCTTCTGTCGCATCTTATAGCCGAGCATTTGAAAGTAGGAAAATAAGAAGGAGGGAAGAGAGAAGGAAGGAAGGAAGGATGGTATGAACCTGCGAACGAACGAACGAACGAACGAAGAACGGACGAATGCACGAACGAATGAAGAATGATTGAGGAAAAAAAAGAAAGTAGAAGGGAGACTTCGCTGTTAAAAGATATTCTGAAACGACATAGCACAGGCTAATGAGTTTAGGCAACTAAACAGGTGCGCCCGGTGTGCCCGATTGTATGCCTTCAGTGAGCCAGCAAAGTTAATTTGACGCATAGTTTCGGGGGGGGGGGTACTGTATTCCGCCGGTTTCTCTGCGTTCATGGTCTTGAATATACAAGGAACTCGCCAGCCAGCATCAAGATCTCGCGGGCTGCCTTTTTAAGGCACATCATCGAGTGTAGCATGTTTTTAAGGAATATGATGCTATCCCCGAGTTTTTTTTCTTTAGTTCTTCCCCTCTAATAACTTACCTTTTTTTTCTTTGCAAAGTCAAATTCTGAAAATTTTGCTGTCGAGAGGGGGGTGGGTATATAGTGCGCAAGAAATGGAAAAATTCAATAATGGGAAAAGTTCTCTCAAGGTGAAACACGACCCCTCTCTTTGAGCGGCCAAATATGACCCGCTTGAGATTTCCACAACGATGGTGGGAGATGGACGAAACAATCATAACTAGTTCGTCGCGCGCGGCGTGTCTTGCGGCCACGCTTGGGAACTCTTGCTGTTCATCAATGCATCGATCGGTGCAACGAAAATAATATGAATCCAAACAAAGGCAGGAATCCATAACTGGCGATATCGCATGTTCCCATTCCTTTGACACTCCTATATAAACAGTAAGGCAGGAAAACTCTTCCATCAGGCACGGCATAGCTAGCCTCCCCCACTGGCGCGGCATATCACGATTGTCTTGCAACATGTCCACGATGATGTGGCCTCTTTTCTGAGCCGATGTAAAATGAAATTTAATCGTCTATAAAATTGGTTTTCAGGGACGTGCCATATCCGGAACCAGTTTTGCGAATGTGGGTCCGTCTTTTGGTTCATGATACAGTTAAAGCTCGTAGAATGGCAACGGCAGTGGTAGCTAGTTGGTTGAAACTGAACAAGCCAAAGGCTCTCAAAAGAGAGTGGGTTATTCCGAACAAGGTAAATGAGTTACCGTTTTGAAGATGTGCGGTACGGCCATTTTTTCTTTGTTCATCGTTATGTATTGGGTTTAGGAGCCAAACACGTCTGTGGGCGCTAGATGGCCTATTCGATATGGCATCAGGGATGATAATCGATGTATGATGTATGAGGAGAAGGTGAACTTTTAATTTGGTTCATTGACAACATCAATGTATACCATTTTTATTTAGATTCACTTTTTAATCAAATTCACGAATTTTCAAACCGAATCCACAACCTTTCGAGTCCTCAAGACTCAGTCAAGCACGCCACACTCCACACTACTGCAGGCCCCACCCCGACAGCCCGACTTTCGCGTCTTTGCAAAATCTTGGTCCTTTTTAGAAGTTTTACATTTTGGGCTGACGCGAGGAGTCCCGCCTACTATTATAGGCATCGCCCGCTTTCTAGAAGCCCCACCCTCTCTCGAATGCCCTGAATGAGCGGGTCAGTGTCTCACTGTCACTCGGGACAAAAAATGAAGCAATGTCCGTTCCAAGGACGGGCGAGACTCTGACCTACTAGTTGGCATCCTAACCTGCTACCTTGAGGACATTTTGCGAAAGTAAGTGGCGACTATCGCGAAGTGTTCGGAGCTTCTCACTGTGGGCGAAGTGGAAAAATGTGGAAATTTTGATAAAAGACGACCACGACGCCAAGATAGACGTGGCCGTAGAGGCGAGGCCTGTAATAATGTCCAGTGTGACATGTTCGACCAAGTCGAATCAATTTGAAAAGTCGTGAATTTGGTTGGAAAAGTCGTGACTTCAAAATGAAAGTGGGGTATATTTTTGATTACTCTGCATAATCGTTGCAGTTCCTGCCGAAAACGGAGGAAGAGTGGAATAAGTTCCAGTTCTGCGGCAAGCAGCACTGGGGTTTTTACACTTGGCCAGAGAAACTAATAACGTAAGTTCTCATAATAGTGCGATTGTAACTGATAGGCGAACCATGGCTATCTAGCGGTTTTGTTAGTTTGAAACTTGGGCGCTGTTCGGCTTGGGAGGGGCATTTTGCACTTACGCTAGTTTATTTTGCCAGTTCCTGTTGGCTTAAGCATCTCACCTTGATAAACCTGTTGACTCCTGTCAAGTGTACGCGAAGCTTATGCTGTTGCAGAGTTTTACAGGAATTCACAGATCCCAACAAGTGACATAAATAGTGGTCGATAGGGACAAGCAAAATGCCCCCACCAAGCCGAACTGTGCCAAAAGTCCAGAGTTGAGACTACTTTCTTCAGCTATGCACCGCTCGGAGAACAAAATGCGATTGATAGACACGATGAAGATTTATCGGAGACAGAGCGATTTATTGTGGAGACGTTCCGTGACCCAGAATTTTCGGCCCGCTTACGAGAGCTTTTCGCTGTGGAGGAATCAAAAGAGGATTCATTCAACGCTGTGAATTTCTCGCTTTTCCAGGTATGGAATTTGCCCTTCTTTGAACGTTGTTCAGAAATTTCACGATGGAAATTCTCTTGCAGGGACTTTTCCGATGTTTCAACGATATCCTTTGTGGAGTTTTCAAAGAACATCTGGAGGTGCTCATCATGAGTCCAAAGGTGCTCTTCTTTCAGACCATTTATCCAGGTTCTATGGAAAGCTACGGCGATTTAGGGTAGCGACCAAAAATTGGCGTCGGAAATCGTGGCAGGAATAATAAATGGCTCAAAGCTGTGGAAATGGGGTCGGCAGAAAAAGCTATGGACCTGGCTTGCTCCATTGTTAACGCGAGCGTTTGAAAATATGAAGGTGAGGGTTGTTGACTTCTCATATGATTCATACTTTCTACGCGGTTCAGACTTCGCAATGACGCGCGTTGACGCGCTGCAATTGTAACGGCGCTCCAATTCTATAGACTCGAATGCAGCCGCACCCAAGAGTCGATAGGCACCGGCCGCTTGTGGCAGTATAGGTGAACAGGAAGGCAGACGCTGAATCCATGCAATTTGGTACTCTCTAATTCTTTCATATTCTCTTGAAGCTCCAGCGATCAAAGCCGATCGATACCAGGCTGTGTAATCAGGCAACGCGTACCCTCCCCTCCTGTCCCCTTTTACTTGTGCAAAGACTGCCATCGATGGATTCCCGACTCGATAGGCTCGTCGTCTATAGCACTGGAGTGCGGTTGCGACTGTAGCACACGGCGCGCGTATCGCGAAGTATGAACGCTGCCTTAATGTGCTACTGATTGGAATCTAATGTTGTAGGAGGAGGCCATGAGGAATTGGGGCGTATGTGTAGCGACTGTATGTGGATGTTCGGAATCGCGTATGTTGAAACCACTGCTGGATATCCTTTTTGCTCTTGTAAACAGACCAACGGAAAGCGCTTTTGCTGCTCAGTCGTGAGTTCTACACATTTTTTCGTCCTTCACTTTTGTTTGGCGCTTCTCCGTCTATATTCAAGTTGTAAAGGTGCGGTTCATTTCTGGATGATGTCCAATTTTGCAGGCGTCTTTTCCTTTTACAAGGCGGTTTATGCCAGTTTGAATGGCGTACAATCGAGCTATGGAACAAAGTGGTCTCTCTTCTATCCAAATCCGCTGTAGTTCAGCAATATGCCAATCTTCGAGAACGTATGGCAATGTATGTTTCCTTTTGTTATTTTTGATACTTCGTTTTCAACCTTGGAAGGGGGGAGGAGAGGGAACGGAGGGGAGGGTGAGGGCGATTGTAGTGATCGTTGGTGAATACTTGTTCATTCTTGTAAGACTGCGAGTATGAGCGTCATGTTCATTCCAAACTATTAAATGATGATCATGCTCACAAGAGTTGACATGTTTTACGAAAGTGGCTCGGCTAGCTTGCTCCACTTTCACAGGAATTAACAGGCCTCACCTCCTTCTAATCCCTGTGAAGCCTGCGTGGGACTTGTAAACCAGGTCTGGCGAAGCAGCAGAAGTGCAAAATGCCCACTCAAGCCGAATTTTGTTTTTGCAGATCGCTTGTGACGGCGTCATGGTTCGATTTGCCAACCATCTACTACAGTCCCAGTATACCGGAGTCGTTACGTGCTCCAACCGTAGCCCATTGTATCGGATTGTACAATCAGCATGTGGGTTTATTTCTTTAACGTGGACCCTTGATTTGTGTCCTTCAGGAATCTTCCTTCATTACTTCCTTTGAAATGACTTATTTGATGAAATGCTGCAAATAATCTAGTTTCTTTTGCAGATGGGTGCGTGCTGGGAGGAAACTCGGATAAACAATGGGAACAACTGCTCAGAATCCACTGAGCTGGTTGGTGTTTATCCTTCTAAATGATTTGTTCTTTATATCTGTATGAAGAGATTTTTTTAAGAATGGTACTGGAGAGTCGGAAGTGAAACGACATGCTCGCCTTGCTCTAAAAGGAGCGCTATCCTTCACTTTGCATGTTGCCGGACAGTCTCTCACCTCATTGCCTCCATCTATCTTGCAGCTTCTGCCTATATTTTGTCACTACAGTAACGATGTTGGGTAAGTTGTTAACGAATGGTAGTGGTTGAATGGATAAATCTCTTTAGCGAAACAAAAAAAAATGGAACTAATGAGGCTGAGAGTAAAGGACTAAAGGACAGAAGAAAACGCGCAGTGGAAGCATGTTTGCCCCCTTGCTTAAATCCAGTGCTTGGTGGATCGAAACTGCTCGCTATCGTTAGAGTGTGTGGATTGAATACAGTGTGCACACAGGGCAGGTCGCGCGTTGGTGGTCCGCAGTAAAGGGGAGGGGGGATTTTCCGTATTTGGTCGTTAGAACATGTTTTCGTTGTTGACTAATCAGTTTGCCTTTTTCACAAGCGCTATCCCCCTCCCTTGCTGCTTCTCCCTCTCCCTCCAGCCTCTACGATAGTACTTCTTAAAAGGGGTGGAGAAAGGAGATGTTTTTGCAAAAAATTGCGGAATCTGGTAGGACGTTGGGAACATCGGGAAAGGGGGAGTGGTGTACTAGAAAAAGAAATTTTAAGGAAGGTCGTTTTTTGCAAAAGTTTTCACAAACAGCGAGGCGTGTCCTCCATGAACAGCAGCTTTATTGGTAGGCTTATATGAATAGGGTTCTGGCGATAAATAAACTGGGGGTGGATCGAGTCACCTTCGCGTAGGTTGTGACTCACCAGCTTAGCAGGCACCCCTCATATTATCCGATGGTAAAATACTTCTCGAAAATTTCTGGGAGTATATAAAGGCGTTCGCTGCAGCAGCTGGGACGTGTCAGGGAGGCTGGATTTGGCGCCAGCCTGATTTCCACCAATTGTTGTCGCTGGCCCGCTTCAATGTTCGGTGAAGAAGAGGCGTCGCGCAGAACTGGGCACATCGTTGTTGGGGAATCCCCAATAAGGGAGGGGGGGGGTCGTATTTGGGCTGAGAAAAATTTTTTTTGATAGTTGATTTTTCTCGCTTGTAAATGGAGGGGGGATCGTATGATCATTTTTGGGAGGTGGGGGGTCGCATTTACGTTTTGGCGTTGTGCGAGTGGCGGTTGACTTTTGGTGATTTTCCTGTTTTACGTACTATATGCCCCCCCGCTCGACGGCTCGATTCGATGAGGAAGGACAGAGGGCGGGAGGGGGGGGGGGGTCGTACCAACTCCCAAAAAAAAGGGGGGGGGTCGTATAGAGTCGACTTGAATCCCCAACCGATGTGCCCTGGCGCAAAAGTTAACCACCTCCTCCCACACCTGACGCGCAGCAAGAGCGACTGCCTGCTTCCACTTCTCCCTCTTCTTGAGGAAGAATATCTCTTAGTATTTCAGTGGTGGTGATCATTTTACATTTGCTTTTCCGAGCTATATTTATCATTTACAGTGATGAAGAACTGTACAAACAATGTTTTTCCCTGCTTTCCAAGCTTCTTCAAGCGACTTACATTCCGGCTGCTCACTTGCCACACATAATGCAAGTGTTTCGGCAGGTAATCGGAACTACTTATGTTCTCATCATTTTATGACTGACATGTAATTCTATATTGTGTTGTGGTCCTTTATTATCTGTAGTAGATGAATCCGTCTCCGAACTTGCTTTTCTATTTTAGATACTGCAATCACCGTGTTGGTGGAAGTCCAAGGTTACTTTGCTTTGGCTGATGAAAGTGTTAGTGTTCTCCAATCAGTACGTATTTTCAACTGTGCAAGAAGATATAGGTGAGTCATTTGCTATTATTTCTAAATCGCAGTTCGGCTTGGTGGGGGCCCATTGATCACTGCTAATATATCCTGTGGAGAAGTGTAGGGTCCTGTAAAGCTATGCAGTAGCGCGAGTTTCACTTACACTTGACAAGATTGTACAGGTCTCACCAAGGTGTAACACGTACTAACAGAAACTAGCGAATGTACAACAGAGTTCCTCGCCCCCCCCCCCTGAGCCAAACAGCGCCATTTCTGCTTCATTTTCTCTATCTCAGCTAAACCCACGTTCAGGTCAACTTCTAATGTGTTGCCTAAGCGAGTGCCAATTAGAAGTTCGCCAAACCGCTGCAAATACCTTATCGGGCTTAATCCAGAGCTCGTTTTTCGCGGTGACTCCAGAGTTGTTGGTGAGTTTCACAGTGCTTTACCCCTACTTTGATACAGTTTGCCAATTGACATGCACATTTTCTTTCTGGAAACACAGCACAGCTGAGACAGCCTTGTTCGCTGTGGATGAAGGGGTATGTCAGACGGGATTTATTTGACGCGTTGCCGGATCCATTTCCCTTATTGAAGCGACCATGCGATAAGACAGCATCATATCGCTCGCATCAGTCGTTTTCCACCAACAAAATGTAGCTTAGCGGTTTCCACGACTTGTGCGGAACGGGTGTGTCACGCTAAATGCATCTCGCCTGACACGCTCCTTCATCTGTAGCGAACAAAGCTGTAAATTGGCCCGTTTTGACTCGGCAGTTCATTCTACGCGATGGGCGGCCGTTTTCTGATGCCATTAAAACTTCGAAAGTACATTTTCTAGGCTGCATTCGCTGATCGTGCAAACTCGAAGGACCCTATAATTCGTCACGGTGGTGTACTGGGACTGTCGGCTATCGTTCTGGCCGCTCCATACACGGTACCCTCATACCTCCCTGATGTCCTGATGCGATTATGTCGATATGCGTCGGAGAAACAGCCTATCAAAGTGGGTTTCTTATAAAACATCGGTTTTGTCTTCTTGTGTTCACAATTTTTCATCATGAAAGGCTTCCATGGTTAAAGTTTTGAATATCAGGATACTGTCAAACGAACGTTATCGGAATTCAAACGAACACATCAAGATTCATGGCGTGAGCACGAGGCTCAATTCAATGAGGATCAACTGTGCGCGCTGAGGGATCTTTTTGTCTCACCCAACTACTACGTGTAATGTAGCGTAGGTACTGAGCCTTTATTCATTTTACAAAGTTCTTATCGAGTTTTTTCCTGCTGATGGCCTACGTTGAAACAGGCGAGGCGAGTGAGGTGTTATGCGCGTAGTGGATCCTGGTGCGAATGCGGCGCACGTGACACCATTTACCGTCAGTGTTCAGCATGACGATGGAAGTAATGGCGGTGCCACCCCCTTTCCCATCTGACCGACCATCTTCATAATTTCCCTAGTGCTCTGGATTATTTCTGGTTCTTTCCCCCTCCACCCTCCGCCTCCACCCCCTCCTCCTCCCCCAGAAGGTAGAAGGTAGCGAGGGAAACAGCGGAGAGTCAACAACCTAAAAATGGCTTTTGTAGCTTGGAACATTGCTGTCAGGACCACATACGACCCCTTCCCCATCTTCCCGACGACCAAGTATAACCCTCCTGACGGAATTCTACCAACGATGCTGATACCTGCGGAGGTGGCTCTAGTGGCAGATGGCACGCTCGCGGACCGGGGTCAACCCATATCGGCTCCCCCCAGGCCAAGCAAAAAATAGTGATTGTTTAATATATTTTTATATGTTGTAATTTTCTATTTTACCCGATACCCTCCGGCTACGGTAAATTGGTACCAGATTTCTCTGGGACGATAAGAATGAGTTGTAAATCGCGTTGACCCGCACACATTATTGTGCTATGCGACATGGCGTTCGATAACAGCTACAATCTGAATGGAGGGCAGTATGCGTGCGCGGTTTTTCAAAAAAAAAAAACAAACAACAACGGCAAAGAGTTCCTCCTTTATCGTTTATACTTTCACGACCCTTTGATCAATCCCTTTGCGGGATGCGGCGCGCATTTAGTTTCATTCAAGATCGTAGTGACTTATTGAATGCATTGGTGCCCATATAATGGCTTGCGTGGGCTAGCCGATGTATTAGGTTGGCGGGAAAGTTCTGTCATACATTTTGAACCCAAGTATTCGCCTATTACCTGAAGAGGGCTAACCGGTAATGTGAGCATTTATACATTAAGGATTGATCTTTCTATTAGTGTCACTGGCTCGGCTCCTGCTCATCCTTATTCTGCATTATGGACAAGAATGTTATCCGCTACCTTCAGCACCGACCCCTTCAAGCGCTTCCTTAAACTATTTCTTCTACCACCCTGGCGCCAGCATGGCAGCTGTCGACGCCGAAATAATGGAGCTGCACAAGGACATGTCTACAGTCATCAGACAAGGTTCGAATGACGAAGTGAGGTTCGGGAGTACCTGTAAACTCAGCTCTAGATAGCGGTGGGTCGGGAAACTACTGGATGAAGAAGCTGCCTCCTCGGTCAATCCGTACGCAAGGCAGCTACGAGATCTGAAGCGAATCGTCAAGCAGAGGGCAAAATCCATCGGCACAGTCCGTCTTCAACGTGCTGGTGCAGCACACCCCGTCAAAAAAAGTTCGAGCCGTACTTCATGCAATAGAGCTGGATGGCTCTCCCCTTGCACCGGTGTAGTCCAGACATTGCTCTTTCTGACTGCTAGTCGCCTCCCGTATTCAACCGTTATACAGCCGAGAAAACCTCCACGACTTGAGCCCAAGTCAAAGTTGAGATGATGTCCAACTTTGCGTCGCGCCGGCGTGCATTGTTAAGCGATGGCATCCACGAACTGTCCAAAAACTGGCAAGGATCTCTCAATAACATTGCTGTATAATTTTGATCTTGTACGCCTCTCTGTAAAAAGAAAGTCTAATTTGAAAAAATGTGACAGAACTTTCCCGCCAACCTAATACAGTTACAATACAATTGAGTGTTCGTCATCTCTCAAACGGATCTGATACCAATTCATCGTCCCTGAGAGTAGAAGGCTTAATTGGCCTGAGCAGGAGCCGATCCGCGATTTAATCCTCAGACCATGGGCGTGATAGGCATGCTACTTCCAACTGCACCACCCCCACCTCATTAAAGGAGAGAATGCCGAGGTGTTGAAAATTTTCTCTTCAGGATCGACGGTTTCGAGCTGTTTTTTACTCGTTCTTGGCAGGATGTAATATCTTCGGGTATGTTGGCAATGTCGGCACATCATTTTATTCTGTTCTATTCTACACATTGATTCGCTAGCAGCACTAGTTCTTCTTACCAGGGGCTAACTTGCCTAGTTCAGTTATTTGTATCGACCTCGTTCTACGACTACCGCTTGTCTATTTTCTCATTCTTCTTTACTCGTTGGAATGTGGGTTCTGTTGAGTTGACAAGTATTACTGTAATAAGCGCAATGGGAAAGCTAATTAGTGGGGGTTAAAGCGAGTGTAACATACGTCTTCTGTGCTTTCATGGAATCAGTGATAGCTTTTGCATTTTTTTCGCGCGCGCGGTGTCGTTGTTGGTCTGGAATTGTATTCGAGAGAGCGTAACTTGTTATTTTACCTAGAAGTTTGCTCACCTGTTTCTCTACACTAGCTCCAACCTTCATTTCTTCTTACATTTAGTACCTGTTTGTTCCGTAATATTTAAAAGTCAATAATTATGAGAGAAGATTATGTGGCTGCAATTGTCTTTCTCTCTCCGTGCTCTCTCGTTTTTGTCGACTACCGATGCCTTTTAATGAATTATTGCTACTTAGTAGTAACAAAGAGCCACCTCTTCCCACGGGGCGTGGTTTTCGTTTGTGAACTCAACTTGGTAGTAAACACGTTTATCCAGTTTGATTTTGAGATGTATATTAAGAAGCACTCTATCTTATAGAATAACGTAATAAAGGTATTTCATGAAAATGTTGTGCCAGTGTGGTTATCCAAAGTGTTCAGCTTATCGTATCACTTACAAGTGTCGTTTGGGTATGTGACAAGACAATCGTAATTCGCCACGCCGCTGAGCGTCGCGTACGACGTCGCGCCTGTTTATAGCCTTAAAGGCAGTTGGCACGATAAATTTTTAAGACGAGTAGGGTTAATATGCCTGGCAGGACGGAATTCCGCGACCCTGAGCAGGCGCTGCGTAGTGCCTTTTCCAAGGGAGGTGCCCTTATAAGGGCCCTATCAAGCTACAACATACCGACCCAAACGCCCACCACGCCCGCCCGCCCACAAATGGACGACCGTACCTGATGCTCGTATTGCTTCATTTGCTAACAAAATATGAAGCGAAGGCATTGGTATGAAGTGGCTGCGGTGCTGCATGGATAAGTGGGTACATACATGCGCCCGTACCTACCGTAGCGGTTATTGACAATATACCTACGCGAAAACTCGTCCGGACTTCGCAGTTTTCGAACGTTTTCTAGCTTCGTTTTTTCGGCCATTTTCGCTACTATCATAGCGGCGTGTAGTCATTTTATGGCCGAGTAGGCTAAATAAATCGGCCAACCAGCCTCTTAAAGGTCTTGGATGCCCGACAATAAGTTTTAATGTAGCTGCTCAATGCCTGTGATGTTGTAGTATTAACTTGAAAATCGTATGCTCCAAGTGCGAGCTGAGAGGGTAAAAGCGGCCCTGGTGGCGTAACGGATAGCGCACTCGCCCGGAAAGCGTGAGGTGCGGGTTCGACTCCCGCCTGGGGTACGACTTGCTCATAACTGAGCATCCTTGTGATACCAATGGACAGGCTTATACAAACTAGGGAAACGTCGCGCTAGCCAGAGCGGCTTATTGCGATTGTCTTGACAGTCTCCCTTGTTGTGCCATACTTGAAGGTAACTCCTTTCTTGAGTCAAGCGTCAAAAGGTGTGAAATTCTTGCCCACTACCTAGTAAGCAGCTTTAGTTCAACCTTTGGACACATTAGACATAGAGGCTTAAGAGCGCCTTCCACGTTGACAGGTTGGGCGGAGACATAGCATAGCCAGGAACCGTGGTTCTTTCCTTGTTATTGTTGCGCCTCTTCTAAGGCAGCAACCTCTGCACACGAATGAATTGCTTCTTTGTTCTAAACGCTCAGGGAGAAATATGCCTCCATGGACGGAGCAGCGGTCAGACTTTGCAATGACTCTCGTCGTCGCGCCACCATTGCAGTGGTGCTCCAGTGCTATAGACGGGATATCGATCGGCGCCGTGCAGCGGTGCTTTGAGAGCGAGAGAGTATAGGGGAATAGGAAGGCGCGGAATAGGAAGGCGCGCGCTGCCTAATAGCCTGGTACCCTTCTATTCTCCTATATTGCCTCAAAAAACTGAAGCTTATCGATATCCGTTTATGGCGTTCTAAGTGCTCGAAGTCTAGTAATCTACAAAAGGAAAGGAAGTTTGATGCTGTACAAAACAGATGAGCTTCATGAGTCGATGTTGTCGTGCGTGGCTCTCGTTTGTGCTGCTACAAGACATTGGCGTGATTTGGATGTGCTACAGTGGGCAAGCCAAGTTACTCTTCAAGGCTGTGTCGCCGGCTATCGCACGGCAGTATTCACTGGCTGTCGCACTTATCTGTGCCATGAGGTAAGCAGTTTTGTGCCTTTTTATCTGCTTCTTCTCCTTTTTCTCCAGCGATTGTCCCGCTTGGCAGGGTTCGCTCTTCTAACTTCGTGACGTAACTTCTGACACTGTAAACACCTGATTGGAGTAGGTGCCAAATACCTTCGAGTCCTTGTGCAGTGTCTATAACCAGCGCTGTTTGCGGCGTCCCTTAGGCTGATTTGGCACCTCGAGCTCAAAACAATCCAATGAGGCTGCATTTGTACTTCGCGACTTGGGCTATCCAGTCTCGCGTTTCTTGTTGGGCCACTGTAACTATCAATTCAATAACACAAACTTATTTCGAGTTTAGCGGCGGTCCACTGGTTGGCTGTGGAGCGCGGCTAGTCACAGCCGCGCGACTGAATTGCTTGAATCGCGAAGCGTGAACGCGGAGTAATCGAGAAAATCTAGGATTCACGTATGCTATCGATTCAGGTTATTTCTGCTTGGATACTTCGATTCATGGCCTTCTACATGTTTGCCATATAACAATGGCAGTTGTGTATGCGTCGAGTATGGCAGCTGAAGTGTATTATTACAAAACAATGGTTCCCTCGCTACCAAATATCGCAAGG